CAACGATCAAACTTGCTGGCATCTTGGTCTTGACTTCTCAGCCTGCAGAACTGCAGACATAATTTCTATTTGAAAATCACCCAATACAAAACATTTTGTTAGAGTGGTTCAAATGGACTAAAACAAGCAGGATGTAATCAATGGCTTCATTTGGTCACCATGCCTACATATTCCTTGATATCCACGGGGGATTGGTTCCAGGACCCCCATGGATATCAAACTCCAAGAATGTTCAAATCTCGTGTAAAATGCCAGAGCAATTGCATGAAAGCTGTACTCATCCTCTACTGCTTTATCCTTTTATTTTTATGCGTCTGTGTGTCTGTGCTGCATGTATGATGTGTGAGAGTTCATGCCCTAAGATGCCAAAAGAGGCCTTCGGGTCCCTGAAAGGTAGAGTTACAGGACTCTATGAGCTTCCCAGTGTGAGTGATGAGAACTGAACTCAGGTCCTCTGGAATAATAATAGTAAGATCTCTTAACAAATGAGCCATCTCCCCAGCCCCTCTCTCTTCTCCTTTAAACCTTCTTTTACTTACAAACCTAATGCAATGTAGGTGCTATCTGAACAGTTGTTAGACTGTGTTGTTTAAGGAGTGACAACAAGCGGGAGTGTGTACATGCTCGGTACAGATGCAGTTTTTCAAATACGCTCTGGTTCAATTACTGCCTGCAGAGCCTACAGCTAAAAAAGACTAATATATGATAGGACCATATTCTAGAATCATTTCTTCACTTTTTAGTACCAATTGTTTTTAAGTTTTGTTTGTTTGTTTGAGGGTTTTCTCTTTCTGTTGTTGTTTTTGATTTGCTCTGAGAAAGTATCTTATTTGGTAGCCCAGATTGGCCTCAAACTCATGGCAATCTTCCTGCCTCAACCTACTAAATGCTGAGGTAACAGGCATGAGCCACCATACCCAGCATGATATTTAAGGTTCTTAAATATTTTGCTAAAGATTTCTTTTTATTGTATGTGTATGGGCGTATTGTCTGCATATATTTTTGTGCACCACATGGGTGCAGTGCCCATGGAGAGGATCAGATGCCCTGGAACTGGAATCACACACTGCTTGCGAGATGCCATGTGGGTGCTAGGAGCTGAACCTGCATCCTCTGCAAAAGCAGTAAGTGATCTTAACCACAGAGCCATCTCTCCAACCCCAATAGTAATGGTTCTTTAAAAGAGCCTCCACAAAAAATAAATAAATAAAAATAAAAGAGGTCAAATTCATTTTCCTTCTGCTAAGGTTAAATGCCACACTATATGAAAGAGAAAAACACATTTCCAGACCAGCAAGTAGTTAGAATGACTTAGTACTTTGAGACACACCCCCACCCACCCCAACCCCCACTGTAACAATAGTCTCAGAAGATGACTATATGTCTTCTTGCCAAGTTTCTCCCCTCCTTAGTCACAGAAGTTGTCTTTGTTTCTTATCCCCCAAAAGCCGAGTTTCAATGATGAGTGTTTTCACACATGTACACCTAGATGACAGGCATGGCTGACATTTATTGAATTTAAAAATAAGAGCCTTAGCAAGGTCACATAGTATAAAAATATGCTTATTTTCATGTCATCCTAAAACAGATTTTTATTTGAACTAAAACTTGAAGAAGGCATGTTTTCAATATGTGTTTATATGTGGGCAAATCTTATTCCCAGAGTCTTTAAGCTTGGAAGAATTGAAAATCCTTTAGAGGGATTTACTGTCTAGAGATGCAGGCAGATTCTTCTTCCATAAACCAATGACACAGTCTGACAAAATAGAAAAGATCTCCCCAGTAGCAGATGGGATGTAGCCTCAGCCTCTAGTGCAGCAGTTCTCAACCTGTGGGTCGTGACCCCTTTAAAGGGTCATATATCAGATATCCTGCATATCATATATTTACATTATGACTCATTAACAGTAGCAAAGTTATAGTTATGAAGTAGCAATAAAGTAATTGTATGGTTGGGGGTCACCACAACTTGAGGAGCTGTATTAAAGGGTCGCAGCATTAGGAAGGTTGAGAAGCACCAACACTTGGAAGGTTGAAAACCAATGCTCTAGTGGGAAGAAGGAGAAATATTTGTCTCGTTTTTGCTGCTTTTAAAGCTAATACTTGCCTTCTTAGTTAGGGTTTCTACTGTTGGGAAGAGACACCATGACCATAGCAACTGTTACAAAGGAAGAAAATTGTAAACAGAGGCTTTTCTGTTCCACCTGATCCCACAGCTGCTTTTAAAATAATCACTCAGAGGCTTAATATTAATTACAAACCATTTGGCCTAGTGCTCAGGCTTATTACTAACTAGATCTTACAACTTAAATTAACCCATTTCTATTTATCTATATTTTGCCACATGTCTTCGTGGCTTTACCTGTTTTCTAGGACATCTTGTTGCTCCAGTGGCTCACTGGCATCTCTCCCGACTCCACCCTTCTTCTTCCTGTATCTCTGTATCTTGGATTTCCCTCCTGGCTCTATCCTGCCTTGCTATAGGCCAAAGCAGCTTCTTTACTAATCAATGGTAATAAAACATATTCACAGCATACAGAGGGGTTATTCCACTGCAGAACTTTAATTTGGGATAGCTTACATTTTCAGTGGTTTAGTTCATTATCATCATGGTGTGACATGGTGGCATGCAAGCAGACATGGTGCTGGAGAAGGAGCTGAGTCCTAACATCTTGACCTGCAGGCAATAGGTAGTAGTCTGAGTTAGGCATAGCTTGAGCATAGGAGACCTCAAAGCTCACCCCCACAGTGACATACTTAATCCAACAAGGTCACACCTACTTCACTAAGGCCACACTTCCTATTATCACCACTCCCTATGAGCTTATGGGGGCCAATTGCATTCAAACTACCACACTTGCTTAGTTCAAAATTACTGGAACAGGGGGCAGCAGCACCCAGGCTGTGGCTGCTGGGAGGTGCAGGGCAGCAGATGCTACTATGATGAACCTACAGAGATAAGCAGAACTGGAGATGTAATGGAGGTGAAAAGGGAGAGAGGAAGCTGAAGTCGACATGCTGTCACTGCCCAGCAGGGTCAACAGGCTGTTTTGCAGCAGTCTGGAGCTTATGCAGATGCAGACTCAGTCCAGTCCAGGAAAAAGTTGCCCCTTCATGGGATTGACCTGGCTCTGGGCAACAACTGAGGCCCGAGATGAGGAAAAAATCACTCTCTGGATTGGATCTCCTAGAAGGACCACCGTGGTCCATGTTGCCACAGGAGGCCATGTTGGTATCTGTGGTCCATGGTGTGGCTTCAGACCATGATGAAGCCTAAGATCTATGTGGATGTAAGCTGTCTATACTGAGGACTGATGACTCAGTGATATCCTCCTGCTTTGCTGCCTGGAGGGCTGGCCATGTTAATATCAACGGCAGGTATAGCTACCTGAGGCCATGATGAGGCCCAAGGTCCATGCAGCTGCTGAGGGCCATGAAGATGTCTGTGGTCTGGGCTGCCACCTAAAGTCATGTTGATGTCTGTGGGACCTGCTGAGCTGCCCCCGCCCCCCCTCCCCCGCCGCCATTCTATGACCACCACTTGGTGGCACCAGCAGTGGGCCTATTCCAATACCTACTCCATTTAGAGCTGCTGGAGTGTGTGAAGGGGCTGGTCCTAGGGAACCATAGTTGCAGGATCTCCATGACTCTGGGTAACAGCAGGATGTCTGAGGGGAAACTGTGAGAGTCCAGTATTGATGGTGTAGCAGAAGCCAGCAGCCTTGAACCAAAGACTCATTGCAATGAACATTTGCAAGTAAAACTTTGTTTGGGCGAAAGGGTCTACTGTGTGACACACTGCAGCTTTCAATGCCACTACAATGAGCAAATTATGTGATGTGGAGGCAGGAAAGTCAGAGGAGCAGAGTGGTGTGTGCACGGCAGAACCGGAGGGGAGGCGGGTGTGAGAGAAGCCTCACTGTGGCTGATAGAAGAGCAGGTTGTTGTCCACTGGGGTCATCGAGATTTTTGTTTGTTTGTTTCTTTGTTTTCTTTTGGGGAGAGGTTATAACGGTTGAGGGAAGACATGGAAGGACTGGGAAATGAGTATGATTAGGGTGCATGGCGTGAAATTCCCAAAGAATCAATAAAAAATATTAAATTGAAAAATAAGTAAATACACATATATGAAAATGTGATTAATTGATAGAAGCTTTTAATATATTTTATTATTACAACTTTTCTATAAAATGACTAAAAAACTAAAATAAAAAAATCACTTGAACAAATGTCACAATTCTTCCCCTGCCATTGAGTCATCTGAATGTTTGCTGGTCAGGGGAAGGAGCCATTGCCAAATCTTCCTAGCTTAGTTTCCACCTGTAAATAACATTCAAACATAGCATTCAAGACCTTTCAATATCTGTAGTGAAAAATGTGCAAACTCTTTTTTCAGGACTGAGTATTAAGCCTAGTCAAGTGCTAGTCAAGTGCTCTCCCACTGAAATATATTTTCCAACCCTTATTTTTTACATCTTATTTTGAGATAAAGGACTTACCAAGTATCACAGGCTGGCCTAGAACTCAACCTGAAACCCAAGTACACCTTGAACTCCCAACCTTTCTAAGCCAACCTCCCCAAAAGCTAGGATAACAGGCATCGGCCACCAGGCCTGGCTCCCCAAATCTTCATTAATAGGCTTTCCCAAAATATAACAAATATCAGTGAAGTAAAATTCTGTTGCTGTTTTTACTTCCAATTTAAATCTCTTCAAGTTCTCCATTACACAGATTAAAAAGAACATTAGTATCCATCCAATATTTTTTACATTTTTTAAATAATTTATTTATTTTTATTTTATGTGCATTGATGTTTTGTCTGCATGTATGTCTGTGTGAGGGTCCCCCTGGAACTGGAGTTACAGACAGTTGTGAGCTGCCATTTGGGCGCTGGGAATTGAACCCGGGTCCTTTAGAAGAGCTGTCAGTGCTCTTAACCACTAAGCCATCTCTCCAGCCCCCTCCTTCCAATATTTTTATCTATTACAAGTTAAATTGTTATCGCTTCTCGGCCTTTTGGCTAAGATCATGTGTAGTATAAGTTAAATTGTTGAGCATTCTCCTTGCATCCAGTAACTCTTTTCACCCCTTTACCAATAAACGCGATCATATGGCCAAGTCATACTTTTGTGAGAGGAGAGTTGCATGTGCTCCTGAGTGTAGAGGCTGGAGCTCAACCCCGAGTGACATTCTTCAGGCATCATCTACCCTCTTTTCTGAAACTCTGTTTCTCATTGGCCTGGAACTTACCTGTCTTAGTAGTGGTTTTTATTGCTGTAAAGAGACTCTAGGGCTGGAAGATGGCTCAGAGGTTAAGAACACTGACTGCTCTTCCAGAGGTCCTGAGTTCAATTCCCAGCAACCACATGGTGGTTCACAACCATCTGTAATGAGATCTGGCGCCCTTTTCTGGCCTGCAGACATACATACAGGCAGAACATTGTATGCATAATAAATAAATCTTTAAAAAAAAAAAAGACTCTATTGCTGTGAAGAGACACCATGACCTCAGTAACTCTTCAAACAAACAAAAACAACATTTAATTGGGGCTGACTTACATTTTCAGAGGTTTAGGCCATTATCATGGCAGTATGCAGGCAGACGTGGGGCTGCAGAAGGAGGTGAGAGTTCTACATCTTGATCTGCAGGCAGCCGAAGGAAACTGCCATACTAGATGTAGCTTGAGCATATGACACCTCAAAGCCTGCCTCTACAGTGACACATTTCCTCCAACAAGGTCACACCTACCCCAACAAGGCCACACCTCCTGAGAGTGCCACGCCCTATGGGCCAAGCATTCAAACATATGAGTCTGTGGGGCCATTCCTATTCAAACCACCACATCACCAAATAGGGTAGTAGACTGGCTAATCAGTAAGCCCCAGGGGCTTACCTGTCTCCTCCCTAGCACTGGGATCATAAGTGTGTGCCACCACACCCAGCTTTTTCACATGGGTTCTAGGGATTGGGTTCGGGTTCTCACATTTGCATAGCAAAGCCCTTTCTTTACCAACTGAGCTCCCCATCTCCAGCCCCCAATAAACTTTTCTGGAAAACATCGTTTTCACTGTAAGTTCCAGAAAACAAAGCTGGAATGTCTCTATTTCTTCCTGAACTCCTTTACTTATAAAATAGTGATCAGGCCAGGCGGTGGTGGCACACACCTTTAATCCCAGCACTCAGGAGGCAGAGGCAGAGGCCGGCGGATCTCTGTGAGTTCGAGGCCAGCCTGGGCTACAGAGTGAGTTCCAGGACAGGCTCCAAAGCTACACAGAGAAACCCTGTCTCAAAAAACCAAAAAAGAAAGAAAGAAAAGAAAAGAAAAATAAAATAGTGATCAGTAATTGACTATGAAGTATTTTGTCAACATAGGCACACTTTAAACAACCACCCTTCACAGTCAGGAAATCAACCAAGTAAAGTGCTGAAACTTATCCCATTTCTTCACATATAAAATAGGGTAGTAGATATTGTGGCTGCCTCTACCTACAAGATTATCGTAAAGAGGTAATGGATATGAAAGTACTTTGCAAACTACTCAGAAATTTACAGATAAAAGTACTGATCTCCAAGAGTCTTTGCTCTGTAGTTTCTTCTGAATCTCTGCCAGGCATATAACTAACACTTTTAAAGAATGCCTCATTTATTTCTCATAACAGTCCCGGAGGATGAATACTGTTATTGTCATGATTGCATTTAAATGTCTGGTGTGTAACTGGACACATAAATATTTATTGAGGACGACACTGGAGCCTGAAGAAGGAGTGCCTTGTCCAAGTAAACACAGTTAGTTAGACACGGAACTGGAAAACAAGCCAGAGCTGACTAACTGAAGTCCAGGACCCTACAGTCTCTAAGTCAAACTACTATCCCCATGTATGGCCGATCACAAGAAGTTGTTGTCATAGAGACAATCTCACTCAGTAATGCAGTCGAGACCATCTCAAGGCCTTCTCCATCTGATGGCCAACTCCCCACCACCAAGTACTGTCTGCTTAGATCATTCTCCTGGGAAAAGTGTGTTTTCTGTCTCTTTGAGAACTGACAACCAAGCACACAATCTTCAGATCCCTGAGGTACCTGTGTTTTAATAGCCGATGAACTTATGAGGCAAGGTACTAAACCATAAATCTTAAATGATCGGGTGTAACCAAACAAATCAAAGTACTGAGGAGAAAATAAACTGAGAACAAGTGACAACATCCATGCCATGTCCTTGAGATCCCACCACTCCTGTAGCTACCTACAAGAACTTACATATGCATCCTTGTTGAAATCTGACAGCTATTCTTTTTTATTAGTTCCTTGATTAGTTCTTTTTTACAGTTCCTCATATAATGTATTTGGAACATTTTCATCCCCTTCACCAACACCTCCCTTACCCATCCAGCTTTGTGTCTTTTTTTTTTTAACTCTAAGCCCATCAAATACAGTTTGTGCTTCCCATGGACTCTTGGATTTGTGCTCTTCCACTGGAGTGGGCCATACCTCTAAGAAGACTGAGCCTCCCTCTCCCAGCAGTTAATCAATTACCAATAGCTCCTCAGCTAGGAGTAGGACTTGGTGCCCACCTTCCTGCTCGGTGCTGGGATTTTTATCTAGCTTAAATTTGCACACATCTTAGGCATGCTATCACAGCTACTGTGAGATCACATGTACCACTGCCCTGCTGTGTCTGGAAAAGATTATTTCTTGGTACGTCATCCACAACCACTGGTTCTCATTATCTTTCTCTTTCCTCTTGGGAAATGATCCCTGAGCCTTGGGGAAAAGGCTCCATTCTTCACAGTCTAGCCTGTTAAGCAAGGTTACTGCAAGTTTATACAGTAACTAGAGAAATGTGCTCCATCCAGGCCGAAAGAGCACAGTGGTGCCATCTTGATTTGAAGACAGTGCCTTTGTTCTTTTGTTCTGAGGAAAGAGGAGCCTTGAGGATGAAGGGTGGAGGGAGCCACAGGAAGGGCAAGTTGATACTAGGAAGCACAGCAGTCTATCTAGAACTAGATTTGAATCCCAGATCTCACGAACCCCCTCAGCCTAGTGCCTGTATATGACGCACAAAACTGCACAACTGTATGCTCCAGCCATTCATATGAAGCATATCGATGGGCACAGAGAGCAGAAACAGATGATGAATTCTGATCATTTGAGATCAAGGGATGGATTACTTCATGTTGTAGATGGATTTAAGCTAACTTGAGATTAGTTTTAGGGGAGAAAATAGATTTTTGTGTTTGTCATTTTTGAACATTTTTAGCTTCTTGTTTCCTAACTTGAGTTTTTCTCTATTTGAAAAACATCAAAATAGCTTAACTCTGCAGCGTCATAACAATGTTCCTCTTTCGAAATTAAGCTTAAACATAATACAAAAACAATGCCTCTATTGCTTTAGAGCCATGAATGATGGAAATAATAAATTTACTTCTGAACTACTGAGGGGATTCGTATTCTGCCTCTGGCCACTCAGGGAGAACACTATTTTCAAGACAGCCAGTAGAAGGACATGAAGCTCATACATTTGTGGTGATTTTTGCTTTGCTCTACCCTACCCCTGGGAGAAAACATCATCTGTTATTTTCTGAGTTTGGTGATAGGAAATTTTATTTGAAATATAAGCTCATTGGAGATAGGATATTTTTCTGGCAAATAGAATTTTAAAAGCTGACAACAGAGACTTCGTCTATTGAATTTTATATTCAAGGGGAAGTAATTTGGAGTTAATGCATTTATCCACTCCCTGGTCCTTCTCCATGGAAAATTAGAGAACTTTACAATGCTTCTACCACTCACAGAGATTCTCAGTCCATCAGAGATGAAATATCTTTATAAACTTTGAGTTTTACTGGTGAGAAAATGGTGAGATTATGGAATGGGAGATTTCAGACTTATCCTGGTTTCTCAGCCTATTTCCTGGTGCTATAACAAAATACCTAAGCTGAATAATTTCTAAAACATAGATCTTTATTTAGCTCATGGTTCTGGGTGATAAAAAGTCCAAGAGCATCTCTGGCATCTGTTTGGCCTTAGGTGAGGGTCTTTTTGAAGCATCAGAATATGGTTAAAAAAAAAAAATACAACAAGTTACAGCAAGACAGCCCGAAAGAGCTCACTTTTAAAACTGTTACTCTTTAGATAACCATTAACACAGGAGCGAATTTGTCCATTCATAAGGACAGAGCTCTCCCATCCCAAGCACCTCCCCAAATCCCCATCTCTCCTATGCCATTACTATAAGTCTGCAGCACACGAAATTTGGGGAGCATTTCCAAACCACAGGAAACCAAGAAAAGTAATAAATTTCAATTATTGAAACACCTTATTTCAGATTTATTATTAAGCAAATATTTATGATACACTTCCTCATTTGTTTACCACATTCTTCGACATCCCCTCCCAAATCCTGCTTGTATATGGCCTGCTGGGCCCATTAGCAACTTCAAGCTTGTCCTTACACTGTCTTCCTTATGCCTCTCTGGCAAAACTTACACTCTCCATAAAATTCATATTATGCCAGACACATCAGCTGTGATGTGTGCTGCAAGTCATCTCTGTCACCAAATATCTGACAGAAATAATACAAGGGGAAAGATTTGGGCTTCTGTTCTAGAGGGTTGGGCAGATGATCTTGAAGCATCTACCACTGTGTCATACATACGGTTGTTCTACCCAGCCAGCTGAGTCATATTTGACTGTACTAAAATTAGATAATAATAAAAAGGCATAATGTGTGTGGAGTGATAGTAAGTGCCTAATCAATGGGGGGAAACCCTCTAAAGCTCAGAACAATACTTAACATTGTAGGACAAAAAAAAAAAAAAAATGGTGTGCTACTTCAGGACCTTGGACAGTAAAAAGGACTCGGGCTGTAAACCGTGGTCTCTTTCAGAAAGAAGCTTGTGGCACCACATTGCATCAGACACAACGCTGTTTGTTTGTTTGTTTGTTTTTTCAGAAAAAGCAAAATTAAAAATTGCCTATTCAAACATGAAGGATGACTATTTCCAGGCATTCTACTCTGAACTATTTTCTAATATAAATAAATGTAACAAAACTAATTCCTGAACATTCTATACATCCAGTTATTTGGATGTCAAAATGAAACCTAACGATTATATATCTGTGGTTACACACACACACACACACACACACACACACACACACACATATATATATCCCAGATA